TGACGTTTTATATGAACAGAGAGAAATATATACTTAGAAGAAGCTTGTGTACGCCTGTTACTCATTATGGAGGAGCATAGGTTGGCCATCAACATTCTCTAACCAAATCTGTCCTGGATAATCTCTTCCAGTTCATTCAAGTTGCTATTCATCCTTTTGATATCTGTTTCCATTTCCTGATGTAATGTGTTCATTGACTTTCCAGTTTTCCGTTTCCCTTCAAGATCTCAAGTTACTGGTTTGCTTCATGATGCAGTTTGGTGATTAGTTCAATGTGTGTTTTATCCACTTCCAACATCGTTTCCTAATTTCCTCTCCAGATGGAAGTTGGCTTGTGCGTTCTCAATCCTACCACTCATAAAGGAGTATAGGACACTGTGTTCGAATCCTGTAAAAGGGATCGTGGGTGCACACTGCTGAGGAGGAATTGACCGTCCAGTTCTTGCAGGTTGCCGATGATGCTCTAGCCCTCATTGACTCATGAATTCAACTATCAAGGTTTAATAACTGTTTCGTTCTACTGATTGTGAGGGCTTTTACTGTTATTTTTGATATTAATGACTGAATTTCATCAGTCCAGATGTATTGATACCGTTATCATCTACAAACTGACCTCATTTAGTATGACTACTGGCAATAGATTCAAGAATAGGACGGGTCATTCTGATTCGGACTTCCCTACAGTGTGTACATTGGTTTGGGTTGAACAATATACCTGATCACATGCGTTTACACTAAAAGGTTATAAGCTATCGAAATACTGGATTCCAAAATTAGTACGATCATCCATGTAGCGAGTTTTTAATATGATGAAACATGACTCATCATTTTAAACACTGATCATTGCGAAGAATATCTTGATGAATTGTATGATACACAGTACTATCTTCATCTGTATCTCAATCAGCTGATTTCACATCTCGACTAGGATGTCGGTAGTTTTAGTGTGATTTGTGCTACTCAGTCACGACAGTTAAAAGTAGTATATATTACTAATCCAAAGTGGAATGTTTGGAGACAAATAATTGGGAAAATCGAAAATAGGAGGACGAGAATGGAATACATACTACTGCTTCCTCATTCAGACTATTAACCTCATTCATTGTTACGACCATGAAAACACAATTATTACATAATGTACATCAATCAATTACATACTGACAAACCATATATGTTGTGAAATTTAATTACTATCCTATTGATATATATGACTAGAAAGGTAAGTGTGTGATTATTCTCATTGTTGTAACACGATATTACTCATAATCATTCCACTTTTAATGGAACGAATCAAACTTCCTCAAAGTTACATCTTCCGAAGCGTCCAAGTCACCCGATTGAGATACGTGCAAAACCGAAGTTTCCAAAACAACGATTTGTCTACAATAGCGGTTCTTCATTGAATAATACACAAAATTTAATTACAAACCTCAACTTGTGAGGTGTCTGGAGCGTTTAAACGCGTCTTTCAAGAATGAAAATAAAAAATCTTCCTGTAACAGTAACATAAATAATAATGACAACATACGAAAGTACAAGGGACAGTTGATAGCTGTCTTTAAATTTGATAACAGTTTATGAACAACCGAAAAACGAACCAAGAGCAAAACATCATAGAAAATGTGGTTAACCATTACAGTGATTAAGATACAGTAATTATAATGATAAATACGATGATAGGTACAATAAACGTTAAAAGTATATGTGAACATTTCAGAATATTACACTACAACTTGCGTTACAACTTAAGTGTAAAGATTGTTGGGAATACAACTGCCTACTGAATGTAAATAAGTAGTATAAAATACAATATGGAAAAGAGTGGAAAGGGAACGAGTAGGAACAATGTAAGACAAACTTAACAACAAGTATTCACTGAATGACAGTAGATGATTGTTGTTCTCTTTCCTGAAATGAACATAATTTTAATGGACCCACAACCAATTGTTCTAATGATTAAACGTTTGTCAATAGAATTGAAGCTTTCGGTTGTCATTTCTGGTGGAGTTATGTGTGTAATCTCTTGCTTGGAAGAAACAACTATCCATTAATTCCTATTTTTTGAATACTGATATGTCTGATTATAGAACTAAAATACACGCGAAACCATAGTTCACAATACAACGATTTGTCTAAAAACATTTCTTTATTGAGGAATAGACATGAATTACTAACAAACCTCAACTTATGAGGTATCTGTGGTTCTTAGCGCGTCTGTGTGTCTGAAATTAAAAAGGCTTACTACAATAATAAAATAAAGATTAGTTGTGACATGCAATTGGGCAAATTACAGCTGATACCTGTGTCAAATCTCGATAAAAGTTTATCAACAAACAAAAAGGGAATCTACATATTAACTTACGCCTGTTACCCCTCGTCGAGTAGCATAGGCTGCCCACCACCATTCTCCATTCATGTCTACTCTTGGCAATCCTTCCCACTTTTTTCCCAGTTCCTATTCATCCTTTTTCATGTTTGCCTCCGATTCCCGACTCAATGTGTTCTTTGGCCTTCCTCTTTTTCGTTCGCCTTTAGTATTCCAAGTTAGTCACGATTGATTGATCACTGGGTGGCGATCAATGTCATTCGCGTCTAGTCCTTGTTAATGCAAATCGAACCCGGGTCCAGGGTTTCCTATCGACTACCTCCAACTACCATCTAATTCCAAGTTATTGCTGACCACGTGATGCAGTTTGGTGATTTCCGTGATGTATGTCCTATCCAACTCCAGCATCTTTTCCTAATTTCTTTTTCAGATGGCACCTGATTTGTTCTCTTTTACAGTAAGCTGTTGCTGATGTTATTCGACCTACGGACATTGAATATCTTGCGTAGACAACTATTTATAAATATTTATACCTTCTTGATGATGGTCGTAGTAGTTCTCGAAGTTTTAGCCTCCGAACAGTAGAACTGTTTTGAAGTTGTTATAGTATATTCTGACTTTGATGTTGGTTGTTGCATATGTTCTTTAACTGTAGGAATGCTGTCCTTGCTTTGCCAGTTCTCGCCCTTATATCTGCATCTGATCCTCCTTGTTCATTGATGGTGCTTCCCATATACGTGAAAGGTTCCACCTATTTCAGAGCTTCTCGATCAATTGTGATTGAGCTGGTGTTCTCCGTGTTGTATTTGAGGATCTTGCTTTTTTTCTGTTTTGTATGTTGAGGCCTACCGTCGCAGTGGCTGTTGCTATACAGTTTGTCTTGACCTACATTTGTTCGTGTGAATGGGACAGAAGTTGTAGGTCGTGTACGAAGTTAAAATCGTCTAGTTGATTACGAACTGTCCATTATATTCCGTGCATTTCCTGAATTAACGAGCTCTTTATAATCTTGTCAACCACCATCAGAAAAAAGAGAAAGAGGGAGAGTAGGCAACAAATTTAACAACTTGTATAACTAAACTCATTTCGTGATGTAAACTATAAGATCCAACTTTTCAGCAGTAAATTTGTAGATTTCAATTCTAATGTTCACTGATGGATATGAATAACCTAGTTGCGATCTCATAGTATAGGGGTGATTGTACATGTACATACCACAATGTCGATACATTTCGAATGATAACAAAATATTTGTATTCAATGCTTATTATTTGATATTATTTTTCCAACTTTAAGTTAGTTGATGTGGTGAGAAATTGCATATTGTATAATAGTAGTGAAAAGTTGTGTTTGTGAAATATTGCCCTCGAATGTCCTAGTGTGGCCGAGGGTGAGGAGATTCCACTCTTAATATCGAAACGCTTTCAAATGGCCGCGCGTATATAATCACTGCCAGGGAAGTCCTACTAACTCCTTTTTCGTGATGAGGGTGTTTTTGTTAGATTAAGAGGATGAGAAGCGAATGTTCGGCGCTTTAGCCAGTCGGCGGATATGGAGCGTCCACGTAGAGGAGTTGGAAAACCGTGATTTCTAACAAATGGTGTACGTAGGCTCCAGGATCCTGAAGGAACAAATGGCGTATGAATCTATTGTTGGTTACCGGTTACCATATGACTAAATTCCTTAACGTTGGTCCACTGTCTTGTGGATTAGACCACTGGTCCAAGGCTCCGGGTGTGTCCTTCTAAGAGAACCACTTGCTTCCGTTGTAGCACCCGGACATTACCCTTCACACCAATCGAATGGTGAAGTGCGGTGCATATCTATTTGGTGCCTCCTTGTACCTATGTTTTTGTGTTTAAATTGTATGCATATTCCTTTATGCAAACTGAAAAAGTAAGACATTGTGGTTGTGTAACTAAATGTTTTCCAGTAAACTGACGAGAAATCCTTGAACCCTAAATTTAACATTCAACAACAAGTCATATTTACACTTTGAAAAACTTGCATGCTCTTTTATGGATTTAAATGGATATTATTCAATAGAATATGTCATCATTGGAACCCGTTCGCTACTGAGGTCTCAGTCGGTTATAAAACAAACTCATTCATTTATTATTATTTTATTCAAGCACATGAAAATTGGTACGAGGAGTCACCAAACAGATGTGCTACAAATAAATCATTCAGTTTATGTGAGGGCTGACATTGCTGCTCAGGTGCCCAAACCGACGTAGGTACGTTTCTTAGGGGGCCACACCTCGAGCCTTTGGCTTACAGGTCTAGTCCACAAGGTAGTGGAGCAACGTCAGAAGATGCAGTTCCATGGTAGCTAGTGATCGACAATCGGTTCACACACCTTTTGTTCCCTCAGGATACTGGAGCTCATGTACACCATCAGTTTGAAAAGAAGGTTTCTTCAACTGTTCTAGGTGGATTATTCATATTCATCAACTCATTTGAAGCGTCGAACATTTGCTTTTCATCTTTCTCTCAATTTCATGAACAACAACACTTTGACGACAATATATTGAAAGTAGGATTTCCCTGTCAGATCATTTCAAGAAGGAGAACTGACACTTCTCATTCTCAGTCATTATCATTATTATTATCCTCATCTATACCTATTCTCTTTTTCTTTTTCTTTTATATACTTTACCAGGATTTATCACATATGACATCTATATGTGATTGTACAAGTTTACATTTTACTCAAAATGATAAATTTCTAGTAGATAAAACAGATTCATCATTCAATTTAATCACTGATTGGGAAGGTTCTGCTATTTTAAGACATGGTTCAATGATACAATTTGGTTGTTATAAATTTATATTTAGTTTAGTCAATCATTCTTTACCTTCCCATCCATCATCAACATCATCCTCGGCGTCAACATGGATGACAATGAATCATAGTTCAACACAGTCTTCTTCTTCGCATGAATCACCAGTACTACTTACAGATTCTTTATCAGTAGTAACAAAAGATTTTTTAAAATTATCATCGATTCTCAAATATGTGTCAAACAGTCTACAAATATTGGTTAAGAAAGACACAAGGCCAACACCAACTAGTCTGCGTTTATCAACATGAGCAGGAATACAAGTTAGTGCATTGAAGCAAAGCCCACACCAAACAAAACGTCAGCACTTTTAGATAGGAATGTGAAGTGAGATGTTATGAGGTGTGTTAGTGTTGTCGACTACAAATCGTGCATCAGAAAAGGAGAGATGGTGAAACATCCGCTACTTTTGGATGGCCTTTTTCACAGTTACATACATCTCATGTGTATCACTCACCTCACATCAACCCGCCTAACCTCACAGCTAACTCACTCACTTGACTTCACTTCACTTCATTCACAATCACTCAACTCCCACTGATCAATAACCAGACACAAATTCCACACATTCACTCTACATCCATATCCAACAACACATTCTTCATCACATACAACTCAACCACCAACCCACTCAACCAATCATTCACTAACTCCATCATACCCACACATACGACGTCATTAGTTCTTCACAACCAATATACCACGACATCATCACGTTAGTTTTAACCTACCTCATCACCAAATACTACCACTCCAATGAACACTTTTAGCCACTCAAACCTTGTTACATATACCAAATCAAATTCACATTTCACATAGCATTCCACACGCAGACACAAACGGTTAATAATCACACCATTCTACCACTGGAATTTGATGTGAATTTTCCTGTAACATGATTAATTGTCTCCTTTGTCACACATCTGTTCTGCTTGAATAGTGTGTATTCTTACCTGAGTGTCTGTCTTCGCGGAGATAACATCTCGCGAAATTCACACAGTGATTTACACGAAATAGTCTATTGTCGTATTGATGCATGTGCAACTGATCACGAGTGAGATCACCGTGCTCAACATCTCCTGTAATCGCTAGCCAGTCTAGATCACTCGATCCTCGATATATTGATAGCCTATCAAATATATCTCCGACCCTCCTAGCTTCTCTCTTTTGATTTCACTTGGTCGATACGATTCATAGTAGAAGGTGTTACTGGTTAAAGCGTTATCAAACTCCAAATACCTGTCTCATCATCACTAATTCTCACTCAAATTCACTCTAAATCAGTCCACATTAAATTATCTGCTTTCAAACGAAATATCTCCAATGCTCACTCCGCCTTACTTTCTGAGTGCCAAGCCACCATCGTTCGTACACAATTAAACAGCGTTGCGCTACTTTTTTTCTCTACGGGTTCGTATATATAAGCCGTCTGAGATTTACATAACTTTCAATTGATTCCATTATTCCTATTGTATCCCATGCTTTCCTCTTCAATATGGAGTTCTTCCTAATTCTATCAGCCTCCATGAGATGAAGGAGATAGTTTCAGATTAACCAATCTTGTCTGACTCTTATCCTCACTTAGAATGCATCTATCATCTATCTTCATCGTAATTACTAAGTCAACCTTAAATCCCTACTGATTACTCATTATATAACTCGAATATCATCTTGACAACTATATTCAAACCCTTTCATTATTACATAATTATCAGAAAGGGTTTGTGGAGATTTTCGAATTTTCACAGATTGAAATCATGAGTCAATTGAAGCTAGACCAATACGGAAAACCCGGAAGCACTGGACGGCCGTTTCGTCTTAGTATGGGACTCCTCAGCGGTGCGCATCCACGACCTCGCCCTCTACGAGATTCGAACCCAGGACCTATCAGTCTAGACCACTGTGGAGTTCAACCAGTTGTGTTGTGAGATATCAGCTCACTGAAGAAAATGGTGTACGGTGTCGCAACTTCGTGGATTGGTTGAACTTAGACATTAACAACATTGGATGCTGGCTCAGTTGTCTAGTTGTTTAGGCGTCTGGCACGAGACTGATAGGTTCTGGGTTCTTACTACATAATTGTTTATCTGAAGTAAATTTCTTTATAATCAAACTGTCTCTTTTAGTTAATAATTAAATTTTATAATTATTTACTATCTAAAACTTAAAAGGAACAATATAACCCATGTCATATTCACATTACAGAATATGTAACTATGTCAATATACACACAACAAATTAAATTAATCATTCATCTGTCATCTATTGAAAACATAAATAACACATAGTAATATAGAAAATAGTATCTAATTTCATATTGTCAAAGAAGGAGGAGGTATTTGGGGGAGAGGGAGAACGAGGAGTATTGGGGAGAGGGAAGTAGAGTTAATGTCTCATTTCTAAGTGTTATTGTCATGTCCTACTCCTCCTCCTTCTCCCCAACCACCTTTTTTTGTTTCTATGGTTGATTTAAATAATAGTTCTTTTATGAAATTTGGAAACATTATTGATTTATTCACTATTTCAATGAAATATAATACAGAGTGATAAAAACTGGTCATTGAATCTGTAGACTATTTATTATAAGAAACAAAATTAATTGAATCATTGAATGCATGTGTCAATTGATGTTAGACCAACCATTGAAAACCTGAACGCATTGAATGGTCGTTTCCTCCTAGTATGAGACCCCTCAACAGTCCGCATTCATGATCCTGCTTCACGAGATTCGAAACCAGGACCTATCAGTTTTGTGCGCGAGCACTTAACTTCTAAACCACTAAGCCGGCCGGTATCCAACGATGTTAATGTCTAACTTCAACCTGTTCATTAGGCACCTTATCAAACTGCGTTTGTATTGCACATGACAATAAACATAATGACTGAGGTATTAGCCTGTCCATGTCGGTTTTCTATAAATAGATCGTTTGATTGAGGCATCACCTCATCTACTAAGAAGTATATCTAGGAAGGGAAGCTAATCGTTCTTCTCTTCTTCGCAGAGTGTTAAGTTTATTCAATATACAATTCATATCCTCATTTGTTTCACAGATAACTGAGATATCATTCACATCTCTCGTGTAAAGTGGCATGTTTTCGATTAGTTCTTTAGTCAGATTTTCAACATATGCCATGAACACATTTGCTAATAATGACCTTAAAGAACTACCCGTACCAACTCCATCGATCTGTCGAACGTAATCGCCTTCAAAAGTGAACCGAACATTGTTAGTACATAATAGTATTCACTCTCTAAGGAATTTAAAGGAACAGACAGATTAAGGTTGTTTAACGATATGTAGACACATAATATAACAATAGTCGGTGAGAGCGTAATTTATAGACGACTTTTGAGAGACGCTAAAGTGATTTTGAGAGTGTCCATATAATAACTAGGACTAAATGAGGGTTATAAACCAATGTGAGAAATTAGAATTATGATATACAATTGATGATTAAGTTTAAGAATTACATTTAAGGTTTTAATCACGAACTGAAATCAGCTATAATGCCGAAACTTTATTTATCCAAATGGCTGAATGAACTTCGAGCCGAAACCCAAGATCTGTTATATTATACCTGATTGGTTCGTCCATAAATTATAGTCTCGCGTTAATATCACCTAAATGATTTGCCAATTCAATAGAATCCTTCAGAGAATACTTGCATAAATGTCTTCGAATAGGATTCAGCAACTTTGTTAGCCATTTAGCCATTTAGATTTCATGAGCTGTATTTGCAACTGATTGATCACTTGGTAGTAATCAGTGTCATGTGTGTCAGGCACAACTTACTGACAAGTGCCATATAGCACAAAACTTGTGTCCAGATTTTCCTGTTGACTGCCTCAAACCACCATCTTACCTGTTTCTTATTTATACATATTTTATTGTATTCAGTTTTCCTCGAGTATCTAACCTCATTCTTTAGTTTTGTAAAGCAGTAACTTTGTAGGTGTAGAGTACTAGGCTACCGGTTAGATCTAGTTCGTACATGAAGAATCATACTTCAAGAACTTAATGCAAATGAATATTTCTGATGTGAAATAGTAATTTAACAAAGTAATCAATTACTTGAAAATGAAAAGAATCTAAACGCAATAGTTTACCTATTATATCCTTTCATTCACAATATTTTTTCATTAGATACCATACTACTACTAATGAGTAGTTAACATTTACATTGAAACATTAGTGAAAGTGAAGATGGATAATGGCAAGTAGTGTAATCCAGGACATATCTCAGAGTTGAAGTTCACCCCAGGACTCGAACCCAGTATCATTCGTTTCAAGTGTTATCACCTTATCTACTTAGTGAATATCAGGACTCAGTAACTAAGTGGATAACATTATAGCGCTTGTAAGCGAATAGTACTGGATTCGAGTTCCAGAGTGAATATCAATTCTAGGATGCAGGTACATCTATGTGGTGAGTCCAAAATGAGATGGAACGCGTATCCTGGATTCCACTACTAGCCACCATCCATCTTTGCTTAGAATGCTTGTGAATTAGGACAATATAGAGTCAATACACACAGTATGCACATATGCCAATAAGAGAGATTGATCAATTACAGTCCTAAATAACAATGGGAAGATATAATTAAACAATATCAAGTGAATATAAGTAAGAGCATATTCATCTTGACAATCTATCCTCAAATCACAATTTTTTTAGTTTAAACTATGATATGTCTGTTCAAATAGGAAAACTCGAGACTAGTGTTATGTTTTAACTCTGCCTGGAGCTCCCCTGGGGTTACTACCTGTCCAAAGCCTGGATAAACGAAGGAGGGTTGAATATGGAGTTACCGATCCCATCCCTGAAGACAACCAACTCGCTAAAAAGTGCTAACCATAAAAATTAATCCAAGTTTGTACGACTTCATAATGAATCTAAATATAATTAGTTGATTGACAAAATCAGGATGACGTCGAACATGTATATTTTACAAACAATTCATCAAAACATTCGAAATTGAATACACTAGTCAGTTAACACTTCCATCACAATGAAAGAATAGGCTTGAATACGGTTAAACATTAACATCATTGAATACCACTTAGCTCAATTGTCTAAAGATTAAAAATTCGTTCACGAAACCGATGTTCCTGGTTTAGAATCCCGCATGTGGAATAGTAGATGCGCATTTCTAAAGAGTCTCATACTAGGACGAAACGGTCGTTATATGCTTCCAAGTTTTCAAAAGCAGTCTAACATCGATCGATTCATGATCTTAATGAATGGAATG